TAAACATTTTTGAGTTCAACTCAAATATACAGTGACTGTTTAAAATTTATTTATTTGCAACAGGTTGTTTATATTCTTCATACAATATCTCTATGCAATATTGGGTTGAGTAAACAGTAATTACATTTTTTTCTAATAGACGAACATATATATTCCATGTTAAAATTGTAACTAACTTTTTATTTTTAAACCGCAAATTCATTTAATTAGATACGTGATTGTATCTTATTTTAGAAGAAGAAAATGCACAATCTCGTTGACATGTTATGCTGTACTATCTCTGAAGAGGAAAAAAATGCCGCTTATATATAGTGAAGAAGCCTTAAAACTGTGTCAAAATTAGTCTGCTAAATTTCACTGCTGATGAAGGTATCAAATCTTTCTTGGAACTGTTTTTTGTCGAAATAGATAAGAACTTCTTTGAACGTAGAATCAAGAAATTGCCTGAAAGATGAGAAAAAATGATGGAACGAAATAGTCAATATATTATCTAACGAAGCTTTTGTTTCTCACGAAACATTTGCCTTTTGTTTGCAGAGAAAATAAACGCAGTTACATTTTGGCCAACCTAAATATTTTGCTTGCATCTTGCCGCGAGTTCTGTATCGCACAGTTGTCTGACGTAAAAACTGAACAATTTGGAAAGTGGCCCATCGTAAACGTTGATCAGCTACATATTGTGTATGGTTGTTACATATTACGCTTTCACTTGCGATTACGTTATGCGAACAAACAGATACTTGAGTATATGCTCTGGAACGTTGCTGTTTGTAACAACAAAGCGATAGATCCACGTGTGACAAACACAATATTTTCGACAGTTACATTGACCACTGTTGGTTGACTGATTAAGTAAAATCAATAATTTATTTACAGTATTCGCTGTACGGTTCGTTTATTGTTCCCTTTTCTTTTCAAATCGTCGGTTCGATTTGTTCGGGATTATTTATTCAGAGGTGGCATCAACGTGTCAATATTTCGAGACCGCCCGTTAAATGGAAAATTTGTGACGTTACGTGAAGCGCTGCGCGCGTTGATCAAATCGAGTTACGATATTACGCAACGTAACTCGAGAGTTATCGATTCGTGGCGCATTCACTGGTAAGGAAGGATTACGCGGCAATGTCGAGGTTAAAAACATGTTATCTTATTAACAGGGCGTATCGTGCTAATTTCATTCGATCCTTTTAGCCAATAGAAAAAATACCGTTGCTTCAACGTCTTTATATCTTTAGAGTAGGCATCACATATCTGTGTATATATATATATATATATATCTTGACTTTGATTAATAAAAATTATATAAATTAATAAATAAATATATATAAATTAATAAACTATATAATATAAATAAACAAATGAAAATATCTGTCAATACTGGAATAATCGTATCAAGATATTCCAGATATGTCAATATAATTTAAATGATAATTAAAATAAATAGATTTACACAACTAAGTTTCTGTTCAAAGAGAAATTAATATTAATCTTTTGACAACAGTAGCCATGCCTTTAAAAATTATACAATTATTTACAAGACTTCTATAATTGTAGTTTTCTAATAAATTAATATTTCTTGCAGGCAACTGTCATTTCAAACATCCCGCCGGGAAAGTGTCAACATATTGACCAATGCGTTATTTGCTATCATCCACGCGATTTCTACACTAACCTATTACCTGTCTACACACATATGTAGTTGTTTACTATCGAGTTTGGAAATAGGGCAGGAAATCGAATCATTAAGCACGTAAATGACGATGTTTTCATTGTATCGTATTCAATATATCACATCGATTGTGAAATTGATTTGTTTTTCAGCATTTGGCTTTGAGCAATTGCGTATCGGGCCAACTCTAGCTGCCCTAGATGGTAGGTAGCCGAACGGACAACAATGACATTTTATCGTTCGGCAGATCGATGTTTACCAGTGACGCTCGTTTCTTTCGACCTTCGTACTAACGTCACGTCTTCCTGTTTGAGATTTATTCGTCACCATCTATTCGTTCCTAATCGTCTTTCGCTGCAAAAACTATCGGCCATGTGCAACATGTAGTGAAATACAGGTATGTAGTATCTACGTATATATATAGATATGTATGTACATAAGAATGATTTTTTTTCATTGACACATATTTTTGGCATTGCGGAGAGAAACAACGCGACGGGATAGTCGGTTACGTACACACATGGAGCAATCTGGGTCAACGATCGCTACTATGTATCGCTGTATTTCCTTTCGTCCTACGAAACAAAAAGAAGGCTCGACCGCTAGTCCGAGCGTCAACGACCAATCAGAAGAGGCTTTCCATTCGGCAAACGCACGAACCACGCGCGGTTTCTTCGCCTTGACAAGAATCGTGTTTACCAACGGTTACGCGTGTAACATTCAACGTGCTCGTGCCGTGAGCATGTATATTATATGTATTGTGCCACGAGCAGCACAGTGTATATATGCGAGTATATACTTATGTACATCGGCGAGTGTGTTCGAGCCACGATAAAACGTGAGCGCAGTATCGAGAGTCAAGATTCTCCGGTCGCTGACTCAGTTTCACTCGAATGCTCGAACGAAGCAGTTTGTTAGTAAAGCCTTTCGGCGCGTCGGTAAAGTCATTTCTCTTCATTTTCTTTGTTATTTGATTAAATTGTACGCGCGCCAAACGACACGTTTTCCTATCATATTTTGACGTTTGCCAGTAACACAGTGTGTGCGCTTCTCAAGCTTCTCTTTGCGAAAACGGAGCATATTTTCGAGTAGGTAAGTGAAAGGAAAAGGGCAAATGAACAAGATACGTTCGCATCGTAGTATAACAATAGTAACAGAAAGTTGTTACCTACGATTGATTCGATGGTTTTCCTGTTCGTGTGCGAGACACGATTGCACATGATATACGCAACTATTTACATACAAATGTGTAGTTGTCAGTTGCGTTGAACGAAGCGATTCGAGTATGAATGAAACGAGAAGCTCGCCTGCACGGTGAGACAATGTGTGCGTGCGAACGTGTTCTGCGATAGCGAAACGTATTATCGTAAAGTTTTTGTGGACATTGTCCAGAGTGTTGATATCTGATATTCGCGCAAAAAGCAAAATTCACTTTGTTCGTTTCCAACCAGAGAGATTTAGAAAGAAGAAAATGCAGTTGCATAATTCAGTTGTCTATCTTTGCTTCTACTGTTTGGCACTGGCTTCCTCGAACTTTGTATATCCTCAGGTTCGATCTCGCGTATTTTCGTCGAAAGCGACAGAGCGATCAAAGCTCAAGGTCTAGAGAAGTGTTCTTTATTTTTCGCAAAAACGACGCAATCTCGTTACAGTTTTTTTTTTTTTTT